GTAGAATCCATTTCATTATTATATCGTATGTAACACTGTTGTTTTTCTCCTGGGGTGATGTACAGAAACGGCTATCCATCCCAGACAGAGGAGGCAAGGACAGGACAAAGAAAGAAACAACAACACTAACTAATAGGTATAGCATGAGTGTGGGGGTGGGGTGGGAGTGCATACATGACTCATACTAGGTATGTGCTATGCCACTGAATTGTGTGAGGGTTGATGCCTGTTATTCTGTCACTTGGGAGACTGAGCAGGAGGACGGCCATTTTGGGCTCAGTCAGCCTGAGTTACTTGATGAATTTCAGGTCAGCCTATGGAGTAAGGGGATGCCTTGAACAAAAACAACATCACAAAAGAACAATAAAAACTATAAGCAACCATGCTGGGTGGAGGTGGCGCACAACTTTAGTCCCAGCACTCGGGAGGCAGAGACAGGAAGATCTCTGTGAGTTCGAGACCAGCCTGGTCTACAAGAGCTAGTTCCAGGATAGGCTCCAAAGCCACAGAGAAACCCTGTCTAGAAAAACCAAAAAACTATAAGCAACCAAGCAACAGCTACCACTCCTAGCCTGATAGCACTGGTGTATAATCTCAGATTCACAGGAAGTTGAGGGAGAAACATCTCAAACTCAAGGCTAGCCTGGGCAACTTAGTGAGACTATCTCAAAATCTAAAAAAAAAACAAAAAATAGGAAAAGACGAATGAGAATATGGCTTAGTGGTAGAGTGCGTGCTTACCATGCACAATGCTTTGGATTCATTCCCAGTACCACCACAAGTCACATACAGAAAGCCCCAAAACACAAAGCCCAAAACAAAACAAAATGCCATTGACTGGGCACTGGCAATATATGGTACCAGCTCTAGCAAAAACTTGACTGCATGAGGGAAAAAAGTTATTATTTCTAGTAATATGAATTTTTAGCATAATACTTTCCTTTTCGGTTTTTGAGACAGAGTTTCTCTGTGTAACAGCCCTGGCTGTCCTGGAACTCACTCTGTAGACCAGCCTGGCCTCGAATTTACAGAGATTCACATGCCTCTGCCTCCTGAGTGCTGGGATTGTAAAGGCATGTGCCACCACTGCCTGGCAGCATAATACTTTTGAATAAGTAAAAGTAGTAGTTTTGACTTTTTATTTTATTTCTTATGTGTATGGATGGTCTACCTGCTTGAATGCCTGGTGCTCAAGGAGTCGAGAATAGAGCAAAGGAGTGTTTCTCTGTGTAGCCCTGGTTGTCCTGGAGCTTACTTTGTAAAACAGGCTGACCTGGAACTCAGGGGTCCATCTGCCTCTCCTCCAAAATGCTAGAATTAAAGGCTTGTGCCACCACACCTGGCTAATTTATTCTTAAATTCTTTGCACAATAAATTAACTCTGATTTGCTTGTAGAACTTATACATAAAATATTGTCATATACAGCTGCTCTGGTGGTTTGATGGTGGATGCAAAAATAATAAACATTCAGTAGAAACATTGAATTTTGATATTTTCTGGTTTAGTGATATATAGTGTATTGTTTTGCAAGTCTGGGTAGCAACAAAAAAGCCCATCTCTTCAACCAGTCATGAAATCGAAGGGAAACAACCAATTCTCTCTAGACAGTGTTCTGTGTTGATAAGTTATGCTGCTTGTTAGGGTGGGTGTATTGAGCACACTTTCAACTTAATGATATTTTCAATTTATAGAGTGGGTTTTTGGGTTCATAATCCTATCTTAAAGCAAAGAGCATCTGTATAAATTCTAATGCAAATTACCTATTTTCACTAACATTAAACTACTTAGTATTGGCTGCTTCTTACTGTTGACAAAGTAATTGTTGTTAAATGGCAGGCTCCTGGAGTGGTGTGAGAATTGCTAGACAAGGAATATTTGACAAGAAGCACATTAGCTTCATTTTTTTTTTGAGACAGAGTTTCATTTTGTAGTCAAGCTGCCATTGAACTCTCCAACTTCCTGTCTCAACTTCCATGCTTTTCTGGTGCCAGGATTACATGTATGGGCCACCACGCCAGGCTCTTGGCTTCAGTTTTGCATGTTCATAAATGTAATATTCCAAATGCTTCCATGTTGATTGATGTTAGTAATGCAGACACACATCAAGGATATTCACAAAAGACTGATGTGTAAACCAGAATACCAAATTAGTAATTTACAAAGACAAACATAATTGTTCATGCAGATTTTATTTGAAAATATAAATTTATTAAATGAAGATTGTTGGTACCATAGAATCAAGACAAGGTTGGCATATTAACCACCAATTATTCACAAGCAATCGAACAACTTAAATGCATAGCACATCTGGTTGGAATACATTAAAGATTTACCTCCCCATTGAGGACTAGAATATTTGACTCTAGAGAGACTGCTATTTTTGTCTTACAGGTCAAGGTTCATGTGTCTCACAAATTAAGTAGTGTCTGTTCAATCTTTAATCCCCACCATACTTCCCTTTTAAAAAACCTTTCTTTTGAAGCATAAAACTTGTTTAAAAATTATATCAACCAGAGTGTGGTGGCACATACCTTTAATCCCAGTACTTGGGAGGCAGAGGCAGGTGGATATCTGAATTTGAGGCCAACCTGATCAACTTAAAGAGTTCCAGGCCAGCTGGGGATATACAGTGAACTACTATTTCAAAACACAAACAAACAATCAAACAAACAAAACAAAACAAAAAAACCGTCATGCAACAAGCAAAATGTATGTCTTCTTTTTTCTTTTAAAATTTATTCTTAGCCGGGCGTTGGTGTTTTCTTTAATTCCAGCACTTGGGAGGCAGAGGCAGGCGGATCTCTGTGAGTTCGAGACCAGCCTGGTCTACAAGAGCTAGTTCCAGGACAGCCTCCAAAGCCACAGAGAAACCCTATCTCAAAAAACCAAAATAAATAAATAAAGAAAGAAAGAAAGAAAGAAAGAAAGAAAGAAAGAAAGAATAAAATTTATAAAAAAATAAAATGAAATTTATTCTTTTCTCTTATATTACACCCTGACCAGTTTTCCTCTGTCCCCTCTCCTCCCAGCTCCCTGCCTCCTCCCAGTGCCCTCCTCCTCCAGATCCACTCCTCTTCCCATTTTCCTTCAGAAAATAGCAGGCCTCCCAGGGATAACAAATAAACGGGGCGTAACATATTTCCAAACTACTAGGCACAAACCCTCATATCAAGGCTACACTAGGCAACCCAGTAGGAGAAAAAGGTTCTCCAAAACAGGATAAAGAGTCAGAGATAGCCCCTGTTCCCACTGTTAGTCGTCCTGGAAGAAGTCCAAGCTACACAACTGTCACATATATGTAGAGGACCTACGTCAGATCTATACAGGCTCCCTAGTTGTCACTTTAGTCTCTATGAGCCCTGGTTAGTTGATTCTGTGAGACTGTGTCTTACGGTGTCTTGACCCCTCTGCCTCCTATAATCTTTCCTCCCTTTCTTCTGCAGGATTCCCTAAGCTCTGCCCATTTTCGGCTGTGTTTCCTTCAGTTGCTGGATGACGCCTCTCTGATGACAATTATGCTAGGCTCCCATCTAGCAGAGTATAGCAGAATATCATTAAAAATCAGCAAAATGGATTTCTTTATCTGTTCATTTAGATTATGACTATTATATTACTGGCCCTTTATTATTACTGGTCTTTTTATTCTTTAAGGAAATTACCTTATGTTTAATTTTCTGTTTTGTTTTCTTTTTGAGATGAGGTCTTAAGCCTCCTCCAACCCTTCAAGTGCTGTGATTACAGGCATGTGTTAACCATGCCTGGCAGGAAATTGCACTTTGTCTTTATTTTTGTTTTTTGTGACAGGGTTTCTCTGTGTAGCCCTGACTGTCTGGGAAATAGCTCTGTAGACCAGGCTGGCCTAGAACTCAGAGATCCACTCACCTCTGCCTCCCAAGTGCTGGGATTAAGGGCATATACCACCATGCCTGCTACACTTATTTATAGCTCAGTTTCTAAGTATTAGAGTGAAGCAACGGACAGCAACCTGGTGACTTATTTGATAATTTTATGGGAGCACTTCACTGTCTTATGATTAGGGCTACCAAATAAAAAATAGGTTGGTCGACACAAGGCTTTAATTCCAGCACAGGGAAGATAGAGACAGGCAGATCTCTGTGAGTCTGAGGCCATTCTGGTCTACAGAGCAAGTTCCAGGACAGTCAAGGATACCCTGAGAAACCCTATTTCGAAAAAGGAAAAAAGAAAAAAAATTGCTCAATTAAATTCAGATAAACAAGAAGTTCTTATCTTAAGCATGTTCAAAACGTAGATGACATATACTTGCATTAAAAGATGCTCAGTGTTTGAAATTCAAATTTAACTAGGTGTCTTGTAATTTTATTTGCTGAACTCGATAACGTTGCCATTATTTTAACACGAAGCTATGAGGCTTGTCTAGGTTCCTGCTGCTTGGTAAGCAGCATATTTACTAGGAAACAAAAACGAGTGTCATTAGAAACAATTTGTTACATTAGCAGGTAGCAACAAAAAGACGGAAGAATCTTGACCCTTTGAGGAACCCGTAACCGATTCAAGTGCCACAAGAGCTGCTTTGATTGATTCCCGC